ATTGTTGTGCGCGCGCTCCTGAGAGGCCCACAAGCGGGTCGTGTGCAGAGTGCCGGGGATGGCGGGTAGAGTGTCGTGTGCAGAGGCCGCTCGACCAATCAGCGCCGAGAATCGCGAGTAGACCGTGTTGAAGCCTAAACGTGCATCAGAAGGTGAGATATTCTTCCAAATTTTCCCTTTTATCCGTGCAAAGAAACTCGTGTCTGTCAAAAACAACACGCCGCGAGTGTCGTCAAGGTTGGCAGGACGATTTAAGTGTACTTCGGCGGCGAATTATCCCGTAATATGAGCTTAGGTCGGACGAGTGAGAAAGGGGGCGATTCGCTCGACAAATGGAGGCGCAAAATAGGCGAGGGAACCGCATGCGACACGGCCACCTCGGCGAAGGACGTCGGCGCGCATTCCCCTCGGAGGTAAAGCGGCGATGACGGGGCGGGAGGAGGCGTACCGTGCAAGCGAGAGGGAAGGGTTGTCAGTTAGAGGAGTGGGAGACGGAGAGAAAGGGTAGAGAGAGAAGAGCGAGGGAGCGAGCGAGCGAGCGGACGGATGTAAACACGTTGCCGCCAGTGCGTGCTCGGCGAGTTCCTCCTCTCCCTCCTCCCCGGCGCTTTAATAAATGTCAAGTGCGTTCATCTGCCACTTAAAAAAGGTTGGTGGGGAGGAATTCGCGCGCGGGGAGCACTTTGCAGGGGAGGATAACACGCTGGAAGGTGCGAACAAGAGCGTCGTGGGGGGAAACCCTGTCCCTGGAAGCGGCATCGGAGGCGAATGCCAATATGCTCGTCGCGGGGCGGGAGGGATTCGCCCCCCGTGGTCGTCAGGAGCGTCCTGTGCTTGCTTGCTTGCCGTGCCTCTCGATAGGTCGCGTGCCATCCCCTTTGGACTCTTTGGTTCTTTGGTTATAACGGGAATGAATAACCTTTCGTGGGTAGTTCATGGTATGCTGGATAATGTGAAGAGATGTGCAAGTTATAAAGTGTGGACGTCCTTACTGCTGTAGAGCTCCTGTAGAAGCTTCCTTTTACATCTGTAGTTTCAGACCTGATGGAATCCCAAGAGATAGGGACATAGTCTGCTATTTTCAACGACTCAGTGATGTTAGAAAATGTGGAATGGTTTGATGTGTATTGAAGGGAAATTGCATACCCCCCATAGTACTTGCTGTGGTGCAATTATCTTTTATTTTGAAGAAATGTTGTCAAGTGTTTATGAAAGAATATGACAATACCAGACAAATCTTCACTATGAGACAGGCAGTAAGTGTGAGTGAAAATGCTTAGCGAAGAAACTACAGATGTCCGCTTTTGTCAGGAAATGTCTTCGGAGCAAAAAAGTGTGTGACAAGAAGCCCATATACAACTTGACAGGATAAAGTGATTTAGAAAGTGGAAATTACCATGCTCTTATGCTTTAGATATCCAGGATAATGGCTGAATGTGAATTATTATAATTACTAGTGGAATTCTTTGTAATGCGATGCCTAACATTGTATCCCTTTGATTTGATAATTAAGTTCCCGAACACAATCAGAATGACCCATGTATAATTATAGCATTATAATGCTAAGCCTTCCTGTAATTCCAGTTTTCAATACCAGTTGTGTATATATATAGTTTTGTGTTGGTGCTAATACTGTCGGATAATATCAAATCATCAGGTATTTTGGTATATTGGATATAGATTATTTTTACTTTCTTGAGCAACCATAACATTAGCAGATCCATGGTATTGTAGTTTGTAGATGTGGTAAACTATGGAAATGGACAATTATACAATAAATAGAGTACTTTCATTTCAAAACATTCTTGTGTAAAATGTTTTTACTAACGGTATTGGTTTTAATGTTGGGTTACCACGTTTCCCTATGAAGTAGTTATATACACTTCATATCTCATTATAAATATCCAAGTGGTCCAAGAGTTTTAACATTGAGTTCTGAAAGCAGACCTTTGTCTTGCAGATTTCTCAACAAGCAGGGTGGAGGAGGAGTGAGTGAGGTGGAGAGAGTTGTGTGGAGTCTGTTTCACCTGAGTCATCATGTCAGGTTCCAAGTGTTACAAGTGTAACCGCATGGGCCACTTCGCCAGAGAGTGCCCCATGGGAAGCGGTCCAGGCCTCAGAGGCCGTGGGGGTCCAAGGGGTAGGTTCAGTTTGACTTTTTCTTTTTTAAGTTCCGAGACATTATTTGTCTCGTGGTTTTAGATATGAAAGAAATGTGAGCTATTGACTTTTCATTGACAATCATGTATGTGAGAATTCCACTTCAAATATTTCTGATTTCACAGGTGTATTTTCAGTTTTGTTATTGAAATTGATATTACCAGCATAATTTTATTCTATCACCTATGTATCAAAAATGTATAATTTTTTATCCCATCAATTAACATAATTATTTATGATTAATAAGTCTTACTATCTTTTAGTTTGTGTTCATTTGCATAATCTGGGAGTAAGAATCAGCTTGTACATATTTGTTTACTATATCTACCCTTGTATATATATATATATATATATATATATATATATATATATTATATATATATATATATATATATAATATATAATACATACACATATATGCATTTATATCTAAAATGTTCTTCCAATATGTGTAGGGATTTTAGGTACATGCAAAAGTCTAAGTGAGACCAATAAATTTTTAATTACTTGCTGTCATTTATGAATGGCTCAAAATTAAAGATAATTTAAAAACCAAGGACATATCTTGAGCATATACTGTCTTCATGTAGACATTTCCCCCTAAGATTTATTGGTGTTGGTATGCATTCTGTTCTGTTTGCTATAGGCTTAAGGAAAGATTGCTATTCTTTGGGAGGTGAGTCTGTATAAGCAACCCTTACATAGAGAAAAAAGAACAAGCTTTAGCTTTTCCTTGTTCACAGCATGATTATATATATATTTATATATATATGTAATTAGGATATATTTCAGATGTAGACTTTTGCTATATTGTCAATATATGTGTCCTTTGCTATAATCTTTCAAAGCTGTTAACCTGGATTTTGATAGTTCTCAACTTGCACTGGTAACTTGGTCCTAGTTAACACAGCCATAAGTCTAGTAACATAGAAGATGCTTGTTTTGAAGCTGTTTGCATCCCTTCTAAAGAAGAATTATTGTGCACTCTTTGTCCTTTGTTTATTTTGGTTATAATTTTTTCCTAGTTTGATCAATTAAGATTTGCTGTTTAGTAAAGCCTGTTAGGAAAAACGTATTAATTGTTCCTTTTTACTTGAGCGATTTCACCAATGTCACATTCCTAGTATGGAATATTTATTTATTTGCTTTTTTCATGTTTATATTGATTTTTGTACAGTCACTTCAGTCTGCCTCATTTTTTATTGCTTGTTATATTCATTTTCTTCATCTACATGAAGTGTTTATTATGAGATGACTTCCAATTCATTTTAATCTAAAACCTATGTATATTTTAGTGTAAGAACATTTTTGATTAGCAGTACTATGTTTTCCTTAAACAAGTGCACAAAAATATTAGGTGTCCTCCAAAAGTGAGTCTATGAATATTTTATTCTTTCATACATTGTTTTTATTTCTTTATAGTCCCAAATGTTATTTTCCTTTTTCCCATTTTTGTCCAAAAGCAATACATGCCTATCAGGATTGAATGATGAAACATGCATATATATATTTTTTTAATATCTGGTGGGTCCTTACAAGGAAAGAAATGCATATGCCAGAAAATAAGAATTATATATTTTCATTACCTTTAAACAACCAGCATTGCAGAAGGGTAGATAATGAAGGTGAAATCGTTCATATAAATTCATTAATTTCATTGTTGTAAGCAGATCAGTTGTTTTCTTTTGAGAGTAATTTTTGTTTTGATAATTAAAAAGTTTCCCATAATAAATAATCCTTATCATAACTTTAAATTCCTTAAATTATTTGAATTTTTATTGTTCCTTTATTTTCTTTGCCTATGCAGCTACAAATTAGTTTTTAATGGCTATTGGTTTGATAATTTTGGTAAAGTTGCTTCAACTAGCAATTAAAGACTAAGCTGTAAGTTTGCATTTAGAATGTAACCTGCATGCTTGTTTCATCAGCCTTCCAATGTTTGGGGTAGTTCTGGAAGCTTGGATGTTATAACATGGTTACTTGTTATATTGCCCAATCTTCTTAAAGCCACACATTGTGATGTGCCCTCACCTCAGAATATTACCTGGGCTACAGTGCTTCAGATCCCTAAACCACTTTCCTTTTATTAATTCATAACCTGGTCACACTCGTGACTTCAGACCTCTACTCCTTAGAAAAATGCTACAAGTGCAACCGTCCAGGTCACTTTGCTCGTGACTGCAAGGAGGAGGAGGATCACTGCTACCGCTGTGATGGTGTGGGCCACATTGCCAAGGACTGTGAACATTCTTCAGATGAACGTGAGTAACCAAGTTAACTTTCATTAGATTCCACTGTTTTATTAAATATTTGAAGTGTTTAACCCATTGTTTGCTGGCATGGCATGTACGTACATGCCATGCCCCATTGTGTGTGTTGAATTTAGTTGTTTTTACAAATAGATGGCTCCACAAGTACTGTCACCAATGAGTCAATTACATGAACTACCTGTCTCCTGTTTACCCCTTTCCTTGATTTTCGATATTTTCTCATATTTCATACTGCTGTTAGTATTGTCAGTAACAATATAGTAATTATAATGTTAATGATAATAAAAATAAGTGTCAGTATTGATAGCCGTAGTAAAAAAAAAAAAAAAAAAAAAAAAAAAAAAAAAAAATTTCCCGCTTTCTCAAGGAAAAGTGAGGTGGCAAGATGTACGTATTGACTCCTTTATGGCTAAGCATTGGCAGAGCCATCTGTGTGCAGAAACGTTTAACCAAGCATTGCCAAAGGGAACGCACTATTTTCCCGTCTACATTGGGTTAAAAGCGGTTTGTATGTGAGGTAATTGATTTTTTTTTTTTTTTTTTTTTTTTTTTTTTTTTTTTACTGTACTGTCTTGTCTATCTAAGGATTATATTGTTAGGCCAGTTAACCAATCAAAAACTGTAGCTGGCCAAACTTTGGCAAGGCTATCTAGGGATCTCAGGACAGAGAACACTTGTGTGACCATAGCTTTAGCAGGAAACTTCCCCAGCTCCGAAGAGAACCAAGATACAAATTCCACCGTAGCGTGGTACTGTTCTGTTGGTCTTTTGCCACAGCAAGAAAGGGGGAAGATAATGCCAAAACAAAAATTGCAGTGTGATTACTAGAACGCTTATTATTTTTTTTGTTTAAACAGTGATTGTTACATCATGGTAGACATCCTTGTACTGTAGAAATAAATGTGTATTACAACTAACAACGTTGCCTTACTAGAGTTTCAAAGGTTATCTAGACAAATGTTCATTTGATGAAGGAATGCACACACACCCACTGTAAAACATTGAAGACATTATTTATGCCTTGGTGGACATACTGAGAGCCAGATAACAATTGTGAAATATCATCCACCGGTATCATGATCGCATTAAAATAAAAGTAATAAATGAAATCAACAAGAAGCTTTACTGTGCATGGGATTCCTCCCAACTGCAGTTTGTCAGTCAGTCAGTCAGTCTCTCATTCATTACTGATTACACTAATAGCAGCATGTGCTATTGTGAAGAAAATTGGATTTTTTAGTTTTGTTAAAACATTTTGGGTATTAGTGTAGTGGGATTTTAAAATTTGGTATTTTTTTTCTTAATTTTAATATCAATCAATCGATATGTGATGGTATTCATAGAATCCTGGAGTATCTTGGATGTGTAGTTCATCCACTTCAGTCTTTTCTGGGACATCGTTTCTATGGAGGGACACCATAGTGTGACAAATCCCACTTTGCAGCTGACAGACACTTGGTATGGCTGTGTAGGGATCCCTGGATAGACAAGACTAGTACGACTGTCTCTAGCAGAATAGATACTCCCTATAAAGAGAGAAAATAAGGTTTAACTAACCTGACACCAGTGGGGTAACCCATATCCAAGAAAATCTAGTTTTTTCTTAGAAATGTGTTTAGTAAATTTTCTTTGTTTGGCCTGATGTGGCCTTTGTTTATTTAACTCTTAGCCTCTTGCCTCTTAGAAAAAAAGAAAAGGAAGTAGGATACTATACCATAGTAGCAGTCGGTACACATTTTCAAAATGCAGTAAACTTTGATTTGAGATAATAGCTTAAGCCCTATCATTAGTGTGTCTGAATACAATGCCCTTCTCTACAGCTGCCCTCACAGAGTATGCCTTGACTTTGTGTTAGTAAATAGACCCCAATACCTTTGATTTTCCTATTGCAATTGACACTACTAACAGAATTCATGATGTTGAATTTTTTAAGTTAGCGATCCTGATACCAAAATTATCTGAGCATGATCAATGTTACTAAGCTTTAATTTCTTTTTGGTAGCATCATTCAGTATTTTCAAAGATAATTTCATTGAACAATTTTGAGGGGATTTGAGACACAAATGCTCATGAATTTTGATACAAACTGTTATAAAGTGTCTGTTGCAGGTATTTAGTTAAATGATAAAACAATTTTGAATTTGAAATGCCAAGATGATATGAATAAGGCTACAAATACAAAATTTTGAAAATGTTTCAATTGAGGTTGGTTCGAACCAGTTAATAGATGGTACAAAGCAAGTTTTAGCGATTGCATCACAGCTGTTTCATGTAAGGGCATTAGTAGCTTACACAAGTGGCTGCTCTGCTGTGTGTGTGTGGTTGGGTGCACATGAACACTTGTGTACAGTGACAAGACTCTCTGCCTCCCATTTGCAAAGTTATTTTGCATAAATGTTTTTACTTTTTTTTTTTTTTTTACATTTTACATTTTCCAGTGTCCATATTTGTAGTAAACTGTTTTCCTTACACAGACTCCATATCTGTAGTAAATAATTTGATGCGAGGGCAGGGGCGGGGATGAAGGGAATTAACATTGTTATTTATGTTACATATTTTATTTTTTCATATTTGAGTATCTGTAATACAACCTTACAACCCTTACTCCTATTTTCAATAGCGTGGATGCAAATAAAACAAAAACAACTTGAAGAGAATCATAGATAATGAGGAATATTTTACAGCTACCCATAGATCAGTGATCACCCTATTTCATGCACAAAGTACAGTGATTAATGATCTTGCATTAGTTGTCAAAAACTGGCAAGCAACTGCCTCATCTCCTTTTATACAAGGGATGCAGGAAATGTGAAATAGCAAGTCTTTGATGAATAATGCTTAACCCCAGCAACCCCACCTAAAAATTCTCCCTCTCCCTCTCTCCCCCTCTGTTCCTCCCTCTCCTTTTTGCTGATAATTACTTTTTTTTTTTTCTTTCTTCTTTCTTTGGTACCCTTATTTTGTTGTAGCTTTTGGAATAAGAAAGACCCAGTTGGCCCGGTTAAACTTTTACTAATTAGATATCTGTGTAAAAAAAAGGGGGGGGGGCAATGCTTAGAAATGAAATTTTTATTTTTGAATATTTTTAGTATGTGACACATGTGGGCATAGAGAGAAAGCAATGTTGATAAGGAGACTTGTCAAAACAGTTCGTTGAATGGGTAGAGGCAATGTTCATAAATATGGGCCCTACTGAAACCATTTTCCTCATGAAAAATGGAAGATAAAATTGTATAATAAATATTTCTTTTCCCTGGCAGCCTCATGCTACAACTGCTCCAAGATGGGCCACATCGCCAGGGATTGTCCAGAGCCGGAGCGCACCTGTTACGTGTGCAACAAGAGCGGGCACATCTCCCGACAGTGCACTGAAAATAAGAGCGAGAACCGCAATGCAAAGGTAATCCCGTCATACCTCTCTATTTCAGTTTGGAATTGTGTTGATATATTACTATATTAGATAGAGATCCCAAGTAGTGAGATGATGATACCAGATTTGTATGTATTAGGATAAACTTTGTTATATACTTGCAAGTTTGTACCATTAGTTTTAGAATTGATGAAATAAATATTGATTTAGTTGAAAATTTAATGGCAAATGATTAATTTAGAGCTCATGAGTTTGATTTTCATACACAGTGGTTCTTCATAATTTGTCAGCTTTTATTTTGTTTATTTATATATTTATTTATTTATTTATTATTTACTTTATTTTTTCTGTTATAAAAAGATTGTGCGTAAAGAAAAACAAGTCTTTTGTTACAGTGCTATGTCTGTGGCAAAATTGGTCACATCTCCAGGGAGTGCCCCATTGGAGGAGAGCAAGAGAATGAGAAGCGATGTTATGTGTGCGGCGCTTCTGGGCATATCTCTAGGGAGTGCCCTCAGGGTGAATCTGATACTACATGCTACAGGTATGAATTTTTTTCTTTTCTTTTCATTTTATTCACTGCATTTTCATACCCAATTTCTGATATTCACTATCTTGTGTCATTATTAGTGTTTTATACTTTTGGTTTACCTTCTTTGATTATCTTTTAAAATTTATATTTCAGGTGCAACCTGAAGGGCCACATGGCTCGCAACTGCCCCAAATGTTACATGTGTGGTGGCTTTGGGCACATTTCCCGCCAGTGTGAGATGGTGGCTTAGACTGGCTGACCCACTCCTGGTCTCTCCCTCCGAAGCTACTGCTGCCCACCACCATGTTCCCCTGGACACAAGCCACTGCACAAGCTGTGGTGCTGGGGCTAAACGGTTACAGCCTGGCTTTTCACCCTCACGGTGCTCTCCAGGTGGAAACTAGGTCACATCGTGTGTACGGCGGGAAGCAAGTTCAAAGGTGTGTGATGAACAGTCAAGTAGACGTGTTTCACATGCATTGATTAATAGGTAGATCCCAGTGTGGAGGAGAAAGGAGGTCAGTGATGAAGTTTTCCAGAAGAGCTAGAAAACAAACGACAAAGGAGTAGAAACATTCATAACAGGATGTATTATATTTTAGCTCTCCCAAACGTTCATCACTTGATGCCATTGGTGAAGTAGAGGTGGATAGGAATACCAGTTCCTAGTACCTGATGTCTGAATTACTTAATCATTATCATTGCCTCTTTGTCTTCAGTTTATGGCATAGCTTTCATTGTGGAGTTTAAATAAAAAATTAAAAAGGAAGTTGTGATTATTGAGGAGCTGGAGTGATGAGGAGGAGAGGGTCACAGGAGATGGAGCTCACCAGAGCTCCTGTATTGGTTATTCTCAGCTTGCAAGACAAGTATAGCCAGTAGAACCTTGCATGTTGAGAAATAATTAAGAATGCAATTTTGCAAGGGCTTCTTTGTTATTCCATATAGTCTCATCCACCTACATTGTTTGTTCATAGTTGTTCTTTGCCAAGTGAAAATAGTGATTGAAGACAATCAGACCAAGATAAAATTTTCAAAATGATGTCCATGATCTAGTATGTGCAACAGGAGAGAGAGAGTTTTTGAGGCTCTACTTCATTTCCATTGTCAGGAATATTCATATCTGAAAGTAACATTTTCTGGTGTTCAAAAGTTGCTGTAAAGAGCTTTCAGGTTATAACAGGATGACCATTCTTAGTTGATGTGGCAGACTTGGTGTTAGGGGTATAGGTGTAATAATCTTTGCTGTACATGAATTTACAGTTTCTTTCATTTTGTGCTGATGACCTTACCAGAATTTTGAACTTAAAATAGGAGACCTTCATCGCGGAATTTACATCCATCATGTGTCGTAAATATCTTCACTTGTGTTCTAGTCCTCACAAGTCTACATACCAATCATGTCAGGTGAATTGACTGTCTGGAAAACTTTAAGCTTTGATGTAGTCATTTAATCTTTCTATGGGACTCTTTTACTAAATGTAATGCATTTCATTTCTAGTAAAATATTTCATGAATCTACATTTCATAGGTTTGTAGTGGTGGTCTTATTTTTAACTCGGCATCAAATTAATAGGTGCTAGAGCCAGGAGATCCATTTGAATGAAGTGGTCATCAGCACAAAGGTGTTGCAAAGAGGAGGAGATTTGTGAACACATTTATGAAATTTGTCGTGGGAGTTTTAAAATGTACATAAATCTAACAAAAACAAAAGGCTGTTTAAAGAAGATGACAATATTAATGATGACGACGGACTGTTCCGGTATTGGTTGGCACAGTCTGAGTAGCAGGAGTTTGGAGAGATGTGAAGCCAGAGGCTATAGTGTGTGTGACTTTCACACCTCTAATTTATGGTGTTGTGGTTAGCAGGTGAAGATTAATACGAATTTATTGACAGTGATACTGTAGGAGGGTGCATAGAAGGTGTAAATCCTGGCCTACTTGCTCATCCCTTAGTTAAGATATTTCATGTTAATGCGGAGGAGAAGGATGGAGACGACAGTATTTGTCGGGTGGGGGGTAGAGTGGACGAGAATTTCATATACGAATCTTATTTCCTGTAGGAGGCACAGACAGCTCTTGCCTTCATTTAAAATGGCTGAGTAAGAATTCAATGGAATGTTTTATTTAATGACAAAAGTTTTCAATCGTTTTTTTATTTTTCTATACAGTTGTGTATTAGTACACAAAGATGAAGGCATAAAGGTACTAAATGAATTATACAAAACTTTCCAAAGAGCAAAACCATACAACATATATTTTCTTAAACAGATTTATGTTAACATTTATGTAAGAATAAATTAATTTTTCATGACTAGCTGTGCCTCACACAGGGGGTTCTCCCAGAGCCATTCTGCCCTTCCTCCTGTGCCTGGGGAACCACTTACCTCATGGGTTCCTTAAAAGGTCGTTATTATGATCTTTCACCAGTACCTGCACAGTCGCCCCTTTGTTGTTGTGAAGGAGATGCTGATATGTAGACTGACAAGTTAGCGTGAGTCTTGGGTACAAAATAAAGAAAAGGCTCGTTTTGCGATCAACTTCAAAAGACAAGTAGCCTAATCAATAGAATAGAACAATTTTAGAAATTATATAGGAAGTAAAACAGTGTATTCCTTTATGGCGGCTGCTTTTCTTTTAGAAACATTTTGAAAATTTGCCTTTTTATTATTTGTACAGTACTTAGGACACATACTGGCTTGTCATTGTACATCATATATATAAAAAATGAAAGTGAGACTATTTTGTTACTGAATATTAGCGTTACTAAGGCGGAAGAAGAAGAGCGGTTGATTACAAAGTCTTCTAGTCCTTATAATTCCCACTGAAGTTATTGTTGTTCACATTTTTTACTCTGAATTTATGTGTGCATTGAAGAACTACATGTCCTCAGTGTGCCTGGTATTCAACCTCAATAAACAGGTTCACATTGCTTTGGATATTATTTTTCCTCAATTTCTATTTTTAACTAAGGTGTCTTCTGACTGATAACATACTAGGATCTGTTCCTTTTGATGGTTTGAACTGGAGATACCCTTTAAGAATAGATTTTTGTGAGATAGAAGATAATACATAATCAAAGGTTGAGATTTCATGTGGGCAATCTTAAATAGGAAAAATATTCACTTAAAAAACGATTATGGAATATCTTGCTCTTTTTTTGTTTTATTTTTCTTTTGTTTTAAAGAAACATTTTAATAGATTCAATGTATTGATACTGGAAAAGTGAAGAGTCCAATAGTAGCTCTTAGATTTTGATTCAAGAACTATTAATAGATTTCTCAACCAGTGTTTTCTTGACATTAGATACCACCAGGAACCATTGAAATAAGTTAAGTTCTTAATGAAAGATCAGCAAAGCACCATGGCCCTTTCACTTTCAATAGGAGGTATTTGGCTAATATATTAATTTAGGGTATAATCTTGATATTTTACACTAATAGTAATGCTTATGTTATCTTAAAAATCCAAATGTACTCCTGCTGCTATCTTGGATCATGGTAGAACAACTAACTTTTAAAACTAAAAGATGATTATACGTTTGAATGCAAACCTTTTTTGTCCCTAACTTTTTTGCATAAATATTAATTTAAAGTTGAGAAAGTAGCCAAGAAGTTCAAACTAGGTAAGTGGGTGAAAATTTGGTATTTTATTGACAGTTTTGAAGAAGAAACATGCAGAACCACTTTGTGAGAGAATTATAATACTTGGATTTATAAATCTTTTTTATCAATGTTTTACTGTCTCTAGCAGATAATGGTAGCTGTGTCCCTAATTTCAAAATGTTTGCATCAGATAGATATTCTTGAATAGATGATTATATTCATAAATTTACCTGCAGCATTTATTCACTCGTAAGACTTGATATACTGGAGTAGCTTCAAAATGAAGAAGGGAATAATTCATATACTTTTTGTCAAGATTATTAAAGGGACAAGTATTTTGTGATCAATACTTTGCATTTGCTGAAGATGTACAATTTGGGGAAATCATTGTGTTGACTTGACAAAACCAGCTACATTTGTCCAGCTGTTTGTCTTGTATACAACCTTTGTTTAATGCTTGACCAATTGTAGTTAAAACTAGTCAGTGGTGTTTGGTGGTAATCTTATGTCTGTTAGAGATATTGAAGGTTGTTCGTTGTTCAGGCAGACAGTGGTGCAGCACC